GCGAATTGCGTATTATACCGCTGCAGATCGAATATCGATGAAGAGTAACAGCGTATCCCTAAGCCATTGAGTTAGCAGAAGCAGCAGCTGGGCAGGGGGGGGGGGGGGGGGGGGGGGGGGGGGGGGGCACGATTGTTGTACGTGGACGTTGGTGTGTGGTTTTGGATATTTGGCTGGTTCAGCGTAGAAAATAGGAGGGTGTGAAACAGGCCATGGGAAGGTACACACGCAAAAGAAATAGTTAGCCCATTTTAGTCTACTCCTCGAGTTCGTTCCAGACGAAAGCGTGCCAGCCTGTTAATTTTATAAATTAGACTCGCGTGTAGAGCGGCGAAAAGCAACAAAGCAGTAGAGCAAGGTATACGTGGTTTGATAGGCGCACAAAAACGTCTTTTTTGTAAGCGTTACATTTTTCGATATTTTACGTCATTGTACGGACATGTGAGTTCGGAGGCGTTCTGGTGTGTAAACCGTGTTGATTTGGTTCGATTTTTTAGGATGGTCCCAAACTGTTTACGGAGTTGGATGTGTCGAATCGCGAGATGGTTTTTGGGGGGGAACCGTTACAGCAGCAGTATCGTTGATTTGCTTGTATTCTTGTTTCAGCTCAAGTCGCATGCACGACATTTTGTTTTCCTTGAAGCACCTCATGTTGGATCAGCTTAATTAAGTTTGGAAGAGGAGGTAGGTAGAGATCATCAGCAGAAGCTAGTTTTGTATACGCAGAGAAATAGAGAAGCGCGAAGTACCGGGCACTGCCGGGAAGTCGAACATTGACATGCAGGCGTGTGCACAACAGGGTCGATGACCCAAGTGCATTGCCGCAGGAATGGTTTATTTTGCACGGTACATGTATAGCAGTACTTCCTTGTGTCGGCCTCAGGCTGTCACGTCACGTAGGGCCGCGTGTGCAAAAATGTTGCAGTGCGCCCTGTGCGACCCACACCCGCAACCGAGTTGTCTGACCACGTGGCTGCCGCTGATGCCAGTTCAAGAAATAAACACGATGCCCTGCTCGCTCACATTTGTTCTGTTTGCTGAGCGGAAATCCCTTCGGGACTTGGCGGCAAATCACGACGCGCTTAGTTACGACGCGTCCACCAAACCAACAATATGAGACCCCGGACACGATAGACAAGCAACCCCATGTCGACAAAGGCATGGGGGAGTCCTTGCTGTTGTCTTGCAGCTGTCCTGACTATAGCAGCATTATGCATGTCTTCTCGGAAATAGCTTCATTGGAAACGGGTGTGTGTGTGTAGCTGACCAAAGACACCGCACGGTAGGTTGTGGTCAATCAATCATCATGCGCCCGACGTACCACACGCGTTCCCCCCCCCCCTCTCCCCCCTGCACGCGTAATAAAATACCGTCCAAGACGCCCCCGAAAACCGTACTGTACAAATGCGACAGTTTTAGACCATGCGGTCTACCATACAACAGATAGGAGTCTTGCCAACTTTCGACCATGGGTCTTAGCACGTTAATCAATTCTAATTTCTTCACACCATCCTCCACACCGTAGTACATCCTGATATATATCCCTCTGTTCTTCTTACAGCTAGCTGTTTATTCTTGCAGGAGCCGGTGTGAATTCGCGATCGACACACGTTCACATTTATTTCAACAACGGCGCACATCAGTCGAACTCCTGACTAATGTACCGCAGTAGTCTAGTGCAGATAGCGCCCGGCTTTAAACTTGGCAGCTTCATCCTCAGTCGTATCAAACGTAACTAACAACACGAGTCACCATTTGTGAACCCAGAAAGAACTCCCCCACTAAAACCTCAATATAGCGGCCATTTGCAGCCCACAACAAGAACTGAGAACTCCGGCGTCGGTCGAAATCGTGAGGGTGTCTTAAGTGCGGGCGCCATCTGTAGCTCAGTCGACCACCTCACGATTTCGTGATACCCCCAACAAATTTTGGGCCAGGAAGGAGGTCATCACGTCACCCCCTCCCCTCCCCCAAAACCCCGCCCCCTCGATCTCGCCCCCCCTCACCTCTGTCACTGGCATTCTTCACGAAAACGCCCGAATATTGTTGGCTTGGTCGCAAAAGCCAACCTTGTATACTGCATGATGCCCTTGTTGCAGCTGTTTTGTTGCTCTCGTACTTGCGATGTTTCTTGACGCCGCTCAACAAGGACCGCATCGATCGGTGGTGGTGGTGCCCGCGTCCTCAAGGCCAACACCGCCAGACAACACCAGATTTAATTGTCTTCTACCCATTAGATACAGTCGTATCTATTATTTAGCGTTTTGGTAGTCTCGAGTCACTTTCGGTAAGCAGCTCGAAGCCGGTCGTTGCTCGCTAGAGCCACAGACTATTTGGTAGCATCTGCTTCCACGCTCGCACGTCTCATCGTATCAGCATGGATGCAGGTTGCGTTTTGGTTGGTGGGTGGTCGTAGGCCACGCCGAAAACAACCATGCGTGAATCGCGTGTTGTACGTAGTCTTGACGGATTCTTATAAGGCCACATTGACACCGCGGTGCAGCTCCTCCCCTTTGGGCGACATGGCGGGGCTGATGGTAACCTTGACGCCATCCAGGGCGGCCTGGTCGATATTTTGCATGTCCTCATCCATTTCGTCGGCGATCTTGTCCACCATCTGCATGTGTTTTTTTTGTTGATAGCGTGGTACACAGTTAAGTTTTGTTTTTGTGTTATGTGCTCAGGAAGAGGTTGGAAGGGGGGGGAGAGGGTCTCTCTCATGTTCGGCACGAACAATGAGCACCATGTTCTAACCACCATACGAACTACGTTTTGTGGGCCCACGCAGACCTCTGTCCGTCATCAGGGTGCGACTAAATGGTATTGTATCGATCACGAATGGATAAAAGCATAGCTCATTACATGCATGTTGTCGTGCGTGTGCATGCATGGACTACTTCACACACAGCTATTAATAGCTTCTGTCGGGGCCGTGCATTTCGGGGCGGGAAGGGGCAGGTAGAAGTGGGGGGGGGGGTAGAGGGGAGTCCGCCTCCTCACCTTGGAAGACAAGAACATCGTCCTTTGCTGCTGTATGGTCACGTCCTCGGGCACGTCCGGCACGGTGGCACCCAACCCCGCCATAAAGATGAAGGCCACCCACTGGAAGAGGATGAAGAGCCATAGCCTGGTGGCCAGGCTGTACTCGCCGACGAGATCTTCGTAGATGAGGCAGATCTGCCGCACGCATCGATTGGGAAATCCGTTTCAGTACTACACACCATAGTTACCACGGCAGCCGCATCTATCTACAAGAGGGAGAGAACGGCACGTTCTTTCTCTGTCGTCTTTTTTGTCTTGCGCGCGGCGACGCAACGCAAGTAGTTGCAGGTGACGTGAAACGTTGACAGACATGCAAAAATCTAAGAACCCGGGAGGGCGCTCCCCCCCGCATTCGCCCTTCTCGTTCCGGTGGCGTACACCGATACACTTGCTTGCCAGCCGACGAGCCAACGTGGCCGTTCGCCAACGGGACCCAGATAGAGTAGTTTTGTAGTCGAGGAAAATAGTCGTAGTGTCGTTGTGCTCTAAAAGCAGACAACAACAAAGAAAAGGTGGCGAGCGACTTGCCACCATGTTAGCCGATGTAGTCCCAATGGGGGAGCGTCCCGAGCGGAAGCTCTCTGTCGGAGGACGAACAAAAGCAACGTACTACTTTGCACACGGTGCTCAACCGGCGCTGAATGCGGCAGGCCGGACGGGAAGGGGTCTATGGTGAAAGACTATACCGGTGTGTGTCCATCCTTATCCTTATCCTTGACGGCGGGTGTTTTTCTCTTGCCCGTGTTCTCACTGCGGAGCGAGTAAAGTCGAGCCGACCCGGGTGTCCACGGACAAAGACCGTGTCCAAGGACGTTCAGCGAAGAAAGTGTCTGGTGGACGTCCCGATGAGTGTCCATGAGTTCATCCGTGGACAACCCTCCATAATTGCGTCAAAATATGCGTGTGGGGGCCGTCCCACCGGGGGGGGAGCGTGTGGCGAAACTGCTTTCGGTCGGCGATAAGAATCGAGAGAGAAACATAATTATTTCTCCACCCTCCCGTTCTGTTCCGTTTGGGTCGAGAACAAGGAAGCACAGCGACAAGTTATTCTCTCACCAGAGCGGAGTTGGTCACGACTGCGATGCAAGAGATGGTCGTGAAAACGCCTTGCCAGCTCCCGATGTCCTCGGCGCCGCGCGGCACCGGGCGCTGCATCTGAGTGAGCAGCTTGAAGGCGTCCGAGCGCGCCTCCACGTAGTTGTTCGCCAGGGCGAGGAGGGGGGCCAGCGGGAAGGCCACGACGAACAGGGTAATGTAGCCGAACTGCACGGCCAGCTCGGCGTAGTCCATCAGGGCACCCATGATCGCTGCGCGACAGACCGACGGCGACGTATGACCATGTTGTGTCGTCTTTGTTTAATGGTGTTGATAATCTGTACCGCGGAGGATTGTTGGATTAAGCGGACATTCCGCTTATCGCACTCCCTACTTTGGGTCACTCCACTCCTCCAGCCTGAAGACGTCGGGCACCGTTCAGCTGTACTACGTTGTTTGGACGAACGAAAAGACTATCCTTGTCGCTTCGCGTTCGAAACTTGAACTTCGCCCAGTGTCCATGCCTTACACAAGTAATCCGTTCTTCAATACGCACACGCCCAACAGGACGATTCGTCGTCAATCACTCGGAGGGCCTGCCTGTATCTCTAGCGGGTAAAGCCTAACCCTTTTCTACTTGATGTTGAAAATACTGTGTGATTTTGCTGCTGGAACAAGACTACATCCACGACGGAGAGAAAGAAACCAGCAGGGCAGCGACGCAGCAACACTCACGGTCGTACTGCTCGAGGTAGAGCCCCTTCTCGGCCTGCGTGCGCTGGATGTTCTTGCCGCTGACGACGGGGACACCATCGTGACCGTGCCCGTCGCCTCGTTTCTCAGCCTTGACCCTCATCGTGTACTTGATGAACGGGATGAGCACTTCCGTCAGGTTGCCCACCTGGCGATCAGTCCAGCAGAGAATGTACGTACGTACGTGGTGTGTGCAGCATCAGAAATGGTACTAATAGTAATGGAGGAAGAGATACGCGCAAAGCAAACGGTAGCAGCAGGTAGGTGGTGTAGGCAACAAAGGGCAGATCGTTCCTGCCGGGGGGTCGGTTGCCTCCGACGAAACCAACATGACTACAATGTATGCATATGTCGTGACGAGATTATTCTCAGAAGTTATGGGCAACATGAGCCAATGAAATTCGGCAGACGGAACTCTTGTTGGATGGGACCAACGCCCAGCACGGGCGCTCATTCTCACGAGTTTAAACGTTGTCTCGTACTACCGCCGCTGAACAGGAAAAATGAAGAAATTACCTTTGTCTGTGTGTGTGTGAGTCTGTCTGTCTGTGTGTCTGTGTCTGTGTCTGTCTGTGTCTCTCTCTCTCTCTCTCTCTCTCTCTCTCTCTCTCTCTCTCCCTCGGCAACTTGAAGACGACGGATTGCATACTTGACTTTGACGTTGGGAAAACATTCATTCGTTCATTGCGGTGGTCTCCTCACCACCAGCTGCACGACGAAGACAATGGTAAGGTTGGTCGCGAGCAGGCTCATGCAGCTCTTCTCGCAGGCGACACCGATCACCTGGAGGCACAAAGCAGCAAAAGACCAAGATGAGTGCAGGAGAGCGCGGAAATTCCACGTTTGTTTCATCATCCACAACGAGGAGGAGAGTGGTCAGGCCATAGCCAACAAACGACTACATAGAATATAGTATTTTTTTCTTTGGCGTTTTCTCCGTGACAAGTCACTAAGTAGCTCTCCTTCTGTTGCTCTCTGGCTGAGCTTCAACTAACTGAAGATGTCGTCCCCCTGCGCGCAGCTTGTGTATTTTCCGGAGGATAGAGAGGTGTCCCTATTCAACTGGATGGGTGGTGTGACATCGCTTGGAGAAGGTCGTCCAAACGACAAGATCAAAACAACAGATTATTGGCCGTCGTAAACCCAAGCGGTAGGAGGGTGGCTGCAGGACCGCAAGAGGCGGTGGGAAGGTGGGGGGAGAGGAGTGGCGCATCTTACCGGCTCCCCGATGAACGCCAGGTATATGAAGCCGCCGTACGAGTTGCAGAAAGTGAAGCAAAAGAGCTTGGACACCAGGGAGTCCTCGTACTCGGTAGAAGTGCGATGATTCTCGAAGTCTGTTAAACATTTTATCCGCGGTCAATCGTCGATTTTGCGCATGTCGCGCTTAGCTGATTGGTTGGTGGGGTCGTCAGCTATTCGTTTTGGCTGTTTCGTGATGCTTGCGACAAATGGCATGTGTGTGCAGAATTCGCTGAAAGAGAAAGAAGAGTAGACAAGCACAAGAGAAAGGAGCGGCAGACCATAGAAGAACAACAAGAACAAGATGGAGCGGTGGCAGCACGGTACCAAGAAAGCAGCAGCGATCTTTTTCTGAAGGGAGTACGAGCGAGTTCGAGAGGAACAAGAGGGAACATCATACTCCAATCGGTAGACGAAGGGGGTGCAACCGCCTGGTACACAAGTACAACACCGCCAGAAACGAATGTGCGTGTAGTAGGTTACCACCTTCAACCCCCCACCCGTTGGTGTCGTACTTCGTGCGCATGACTGTGACACGATTATACGCATGATATGGTTTGCACATCTTAGCCAAACGGACCCAGCCGAGAATCTCCACGGAAATAAGGATGGCCCCGGTGTGTGCATAACCAAATGAGAATGACAACCGTTTCGCTTCCTCACCAGTCAGAGCAACAGCAACCTTCTTGTAGACAGCGTTCAAGACTTGAATCTGGATAGAGTTGATCACCGACGTCACTATGCCGCCCCACGTCTCGCCCCAGTCACCAGAGGTCCCGTAAACCAGGTACCACCTGCGAAGAGAGACCACCATCAAGCATAACGTGTACAAGCCAGCACTACCGTTGGTACTTTCCTACACATTCAGACCCCATAACATTTATTCTGTTTGTGATGGCAGCAGCAATAGGAAACGTTTTCACAGAGTGGTCCGATCCCACGGACCGGAGCTTACGGGTGGTTGAGGGTTTCCTTGTACCCTCTTGGCGGTGTCGTGTGACGTCACAACAGCGTTTACCTCGAACACGTGAGGAAAGACCAGCAGTGTGGAGTACCAACGTGTGCAAGTGGTTAAGGCCACAAAACATCTGTAGCACAAACCAGATCAATTCTGAGACACAAATTAATTTTCAATGCGTCAACCACACGTCTCATCTCTTCCCTTATCCTTGAAGCTTTGCGTTGCTCTATGCTTGTACAACGCTATTTCTTAGCAGTATTTCTTATCTCTTTCTCCCCCACTCCTTGCCTGAAGGCGTAGACGGCCGCGATGCAGCCCACGACGATGGTGATCATTGACACGATCACGGCCGTCGCCCGCCGGGACTTCCAGGCCTTCTTGTGCGTAGGGTAGTACCTGTAATTCGTACCGCGGTGTTTCGGCAACAACAGTCAGTCGGAGTCGTCCAGTCCGAACGTGGGCGAGGGAGAAATGGAGGTTTCTTGAACTTGTTGGAAAAGAGCGTTCGTTATCGCTCGTTGTTTGTCAGGTGCTGCCTAAGGTGCTAGCGTGGGGCTATTATGTATTTTGACTAGCTTTCCCGGCGATCTTCTAGGCCCTCGTCTTTCGTGGCAAAAGAAAATGCAAACTGTTCGCGATTTCGTTCTGCACCGAGAAGAGCCAGGATCTTCAAAACCTTTATAGCGTGGTGGTGAACATAGTCCAAAAATGGGGTGCTGGGACACGAGGTATCACTACAATATCGGACTCTTGAGGCGGCAACCGTCATGTACTACTTGTCCTCCGGCGGCGGGCTTGACACACGGGTTTCGCTCATCACGCCCAAGGCGCGATGTGATAAGAGCCACCTACATACAGCGTGCATGTCTCCCTCAATACTTCAGCGGACAACTACGCCCCCTTTCGCTCACAGAACGGTTTTGCCGTCGATGGGGGACGGGATGAACTCTCCCTTGTACTCCGGACGGGCTTGCTCGTCTGGGTACACACACGTTGTACAAGATACATTGTGTTGGCTTCGGGGTAGGGCGTGAAAAGGGGGGGGAGAGAGGATGCGCAACATGATCGATATTGTCGACCAACTCCTTTTCTTGGAACAACGTGCAGGGCTCGAAATGTGGGCGTTCTCTAGCCTTGTGGCACCGCAGACAACACGTGAAGAAGCAGGATCTACGACCGAATTTCAAGAACCTCCAACCATGGACCTTCGTTCCTCGCACTCTCCTGGATGGATACACCCGTGTCCTCTCAGTGTTCTAGCTGTTAGGGGCACGACATGGGAGTCCCAAGGAGTGCGCTGCGAGCAAACGGAAAACGGAATTGTGCCATCTGCACTTACTTACTCCTGTTTGGTCTTCTTTGGTCGAAGGGTGACTTTTCTTTCCATCTCACACAGACTCTCGTCTCTGTCAGCCCCCCCCCCGCCCCCTCCATCTCTGTATCTCTCACCATTTTCGAAGCCAATCATGCCCCACTCCAAGGCGACGCGCTTTTCTTTTCGCTTCCAGAACTCCAACATGGCTAGAAACGGTCGATCAAGAGCATCAAAAGCAGCAGCTTTGTTTCGGTGGTCCAGAAAAACGTACCGACCACCGTCCCAAATCGTACGTTTTGGCAACACGTGTCACCATATCACCAGGTCATAAAGCAGGCAGATACGCACATAACCCTCGCAAATCCCCCCCACCCCCTGGCAACCCTTTTGACCACTTCAACAATAGACGGGGACAGGGAACTGTGGCTTGGAATCAACGAAGATACACCCTTTTCTGGTATCTTCTTCGCAGGCACGCTGAACCACTATTATTGCTGTATGGCTTTCGGACTTAGTTCTGGCTTCACGATGGCGTCCGTAGTTGTGGGGTTGGTATCCCGCGTCTCGAGTCGTGCCTTCGCTGATTCCTCACCAATTGCCCAGAAAACGACGATGGGGGCGAAGATGAGAGTTATCACGTGCTCCTCGTTCCCCGATATGTAGACGGTCATCGCGGTTATCAGACCCGCTACCCCCAGCGGAATCAGCCTGTTAGATGTAGTACCGCATGGATGGGTCAATTGCAGTCGAACACCGAGATAAGGTTCTGGTTGTTGCGTTCTCTGTTCCTTTAACCGCTTCAACCCGACCATTCTTCTCTAGCTGAACGGGTTTCATCCCCGCGCCACGCAAACGAATTCTACCGCACCGAGGTTCAAGTGCTGCTTGCGTTTGGATGTAGTCTATCCATGACGCAGCATGCACGTGTCGAAGGTGCCATGCCTGGGGGATAAGATCAAAAACCTCCAGGGGAATGGTACTCTCAAGGACATACACCACACGATACCGTCGAGGCTTGCTTTCCAAGCAGGAATCAGCGTTTGTTATTCAGCCAGAAATGAAACAACATAACGCGCTCTGTTCTAGATACGAATGGGATGCCCCAACTCGCCATTTGGTGTTGCTAGTGTTGTCATGGCTGTGGTTGCGGGTGTTGTTGAAGCAAGTATTGTTGTGTTGCTGCTGCTGTTGAAGTCGGGCTCCATGAACAGCAGAGAAACTGCCCAAGGATATACGCTCGAAATGACCCTGATGAAGTTACGAAAAAGTTTGCCTGCGCAGTTACTCATGTGTCTCCACGCCGTCCGTCCCAGCGGCAAACCGTCTAATAGCATTGCTCTGTCGGTTCGGTTTGTCTGTATCTCGACCCTTGAGCCCGCGCCAATAGCAACTCACCAAGTTGTAAGATGGCCTAAGAAGTGGAAGTACAACCCGATCTTCTCGCCGTAGTCTGTTTGGTAAGCCCATACGGCACGGCAGTTAACAGCGCGAGCAGAACGAACGCAACAGCAGATAAAATTCAATGTCCTGTTCCACACACAGAATTGTTCTCGCGCATCCATTTACAACAAACACCCCCCTTATCCGGCGTCCGCGTCAGTGTGGTTTGGTAACGAAGGTCTACTGCTGTCGCATGTTGCATATCTCAAGGTAATGACCCACCTCCTCCCAGCCAGTCAAGGCTACGCTAAGGCACATGTCTCACAATCTTTGATCTGGTCGTACGGCGATTCCCACGGCCACTGCTTGGCCACGAGCCAGTTATTCCTAAGGCGCAGCTTGTTCTGCTTGACTGCAACAAAGAAACGGCGAGGGAAAGCAAGAAGAGAGTGCGCAGCGCGCGAACGAAGCAAAGGAATGAGGACGGTGGGAAAAGGGAGGGAAGGAGGGAGCGGGTCAGTGGTGTCTGACACCGTTGACACGTGTGACACTCCCGAGGAGAAAATGCGGTGGAATCGTGCCAACGACCTTGACTCTCGGACTCGATCCCGTCGATTCGGTCCACAGTATCTGGCGGCCCAGATTTTCGTTCACGATGCTCCCCGGTAACGTGTTTCATGCGGTCTGGCGCGACGACAGTCAAGAATCACCCCGAAACAAACACGGGACGGGTACCCGACTTCTTGACACACCCACATCTCCTACTCTGGGAAAGGGGGAAACAAGGGCGTACGCTGCGGTTGGGTTTCGATTTGCTCCTTGTATTTGTCTGGCTTCCCTTGCAGCCAGACCAACAACAACACTCCATGCGATTCGACAAGACAGGACAAGGAGCACAAGAAGCGAACGTGGGCGGCACGATACGATGACACTTACAGTGCTTCGGGAAAAGGGCGAGGATTTTCCCCTGGAGCTTGAGCTTGTCCACGGGCAGCCCCGCCCCGCCAAGGCACATGGGCGCCTTCAAGATGTCAATGCTTATCGACAGCCGAACCACCGCTCTGAACGGGTGCCACATGCCGTCGCTTTTGTAGTACAGGTGCTGGTTGCGCGGTGGTATTATTGGGTGGCGATAGCGGCAACGAGTATGGTGAGGAGGGAAGGTGGAAGAGGGTCACAAACGTGCGCATGCTCTGATGGTTCACTGAAGTCCGCAACGCATGGAGGCTTTCGCACTTGTTTCACTTACACCACTACTACAGGCGTTTGGAAGCATCCACCAAAAACGACGGCTACCAATAACTGCTGACGTCGCGCACCTGAAGATCCGGCCTGCGGTCGTATCTGGCGTAGATGTACTCGTACGGCGACCTGAAGGAAATGTTCGGGTCGTTATTGATCTTGATGGGAGCGATTTTTGCCTCGGGGTCTCCGGCTGCGGCTGCCTCGGAAAGCTGGAAGCGGTCGAGGAGCATCTTGCGGTTCACCTGTTGTCGTTCACAAAAAAGCAGCAGCACGGAACGTGATGAAAAGGGGGAAGGGTCACTGCGGGAAAATGGCGAGGCCAGGTAATTGAAATAAGGAAAAGAGGCTGCAATCCAACATAACTCAAACGGACGACAACGCTTTCATTGAGATGTGACGTCTTCTCAACGGGAAGCAGGTCACGTCAGCATGTTGATTTCATATCTGGCATGATATCTGGGAGGAACATGCGGCCGTCGATAAATTTGTTCCCCCGATGCTGCACGCCTCGAAGCTTGAGCTCTGAGAAGTCCCTGCTTGGTGAAGAAAGAAAAAAACACACGCAAGTACTCTACCACTTCCTTCTGGTCACTTTTTGTCGATCGCAAGACTCCCAGCGGTGAATTTTTTCCCCATTGATTGATGGACTCTATTGTTCAGACCTGGTCAGCGTACTGCATGAGGCGTTCCACCGAGGCTCGCATCTCGCAGAACACCTCCTCTTTGCTGCAGCTCAAGTACACGCGGACCTTGAAGCCCGCGGCCATAATCTTCTTGATCGTTTCTGTCGCGTAGTCGGTCATGACCCCAACCCTCGATAGCTTGAACACCATCACGTAGTCGAAACCGTACCCGTCGGCCGCGATGTATTCCATCTTCAACGCCATTGTCCCGCACATATTTATATGGCACGGCGAGTGTTGTTGCGATGTAGTCAATTGCGTGGAATTTGGGCGGTACAAGTTTCGCGTATAAAGGTTTCAACAAGGAACAGCATAGAGCGGCGGCGAGACGACAGAGAAACAAATTGGAGAATTACAACATGCTGCCAACCCTGCGCGGTTGCTAGAGTGGGGGGTAGAACACCGCAGTGCAATGAAAACAGGTTGCGATGGTGTGGCATAGGGGTGTTATTGTCTAGCGTGTTGGATACAGGCACTCGACAAGACCAACACCATGTGGATGGCCCGAAGGTGTGCAGACCTTGTAGGCCGAAACTGGCGTCGGGATCTCATGACAAGACCGCAAGACAGGGTTCAATAGAGAACAGGAGGGTACCCGAGCAAGTCCCGACGGGTTACGAATAGCAGGAGAGGCGGTACCCAAGCAATAGATCGATATCCCACGGAATAGATCGTGAAAAGTCTTTCCTGATTAGTTGACAAGGGTAGCCCAACAGAAGTGAGTATGGAGTCCGCGAATAGAATCTACCGGGTAGTAGGCGACCTGCGAGCCTCGGCGTTACGGCTAGACCGTAGCAGACGTCTCCCATGGTGTAAAAAATTGTAGTCCTTCTTTCCCGCTCTTCTTTTCGCGGCATCGTCGCCACTCTCCGAATACGCTGGAGCAGCGACCGCGTAAATTGGACAAATGTGGTGCTTGGACCAATACAGCGCTGTCCTTGACGGGGGAACAGGGGCTTTCCGCAACAAAACACGATACCTACTTGATGAAAACATGTTCATACGGCGTACAGCGCACGCTCGTAACATTTTTTGCTGTCACGAATCACAAATGACCTACACCCCACAAGGTTTATGTAGTTCGAGAGGACTGTATTGTGAATAAACAACAATCGCCTTCTGCACCTGGCTGTACTCTGGTACTTCGGCAAGGAAAATATGTGTCTGCGGCCAACATGGTATCGAGGTGCTACGTTTCACACGCGGAGATATCAGCAAGAGTACGGCTAACTGAAGGAACTACCCAACTATTAGCCTGTTCAGGCTATCCATGTCCCGCTCTAAGAGGATTCCCACCCCCGTTGACCCCGAAACCGGAGCAAATTGAGCCAAACTTCTCACTTGAATTGTACAAAGATCCCATGCGCTACCTCAACAACTTGTGTGCGTGAAAGAGCTGTGCACCGTTGGTGAAAAATGAATCTCTTTCTTTGGAAAGAAGCGGTTGAGTCCATCTTTCCGGTGGAACTATCCGGTTCGACCACAAGAGTGCACTCGCCTTTATTGTAGAAAAATATAACTCGAAACAATCACAAAATTCCGCGCCCTCTCTTGAAGTACTACGTTGCGTTAACATCCACAACGAGCAGTTCAAACCTTAAAACAAGCAAGAGAAAACACCACGCGTTTACAGAAGTGTATCCCATCATGCAAGCAACATGGACTCGTTGAATCGCCCGAATACCTGTCCACATTTATGCGCATCACGATGGTAACCGTGAGGTTGAACTCACCTCACTCAATTCGTCCACCTGCGACGCATCCCCAGGCACTATCGTATTGGGCGAGGGTTCCGCGGTTGATGGGTACATGGCCGTCCTCGTCTCATCTTTAAGACCGTTTCCGCCAAGCTCGGGGTTTTGGTTGTTGGTGCTGCTACTGTCGTTCGTCTTGCGCAGCGCCATGATACGGTTGGTGCTACCCAGGTCTACATCCTCCATGTCTGCTCCTTTTGGAGGGAGTTCTTCTGCAATGTCTTCTTCTTCATCTCCTTTAAATGACGTCGCGGCCCGCTTATGCCTCATCGTGGTTGCCATAGACCCGCACTCCGACGACTGGTCCAATCCGTTGTCGTCGTCACCCTCCTTGGAGGAGCCATGGTCACTGCCACCATCTCCAGAAGAGGGAAATTGAGTGTTCCTCGATGGGGACTTATTCGATTCTGGGCTGCTGGGTTCATCGTCCGAGAAGGCGCCAGGGTCAGGGTTGTTAGCGTTGTTGTTAAAGTTGACGAGGATGGGTTCAGGCGCGACGCTGAGCGGGTTCTGCATCTCCACACTGCGATCCTCGTCGAGGAGGCTGTCTTCACTATCCAAGTGGCCCCGCTCGAGACGGTCTGTGCTATAGCTCATTTTTGCTGATGGTGATCTCAGTAGCTCGAGTCTCGGCCGCTACGGCAGTGTTGGATGGATACCGTATCTCTGCTTTCGGCAAGCGCGGCTGTCCATCGATGTGGTAATGTTAATGTTGTGATGATGATGCTGGTATGATGCAATCGTTCCGCAGCCACGGCTGCAGCACCAGCTCAAGCCTACCAGAGGAAGCTTGTACGCGCGGTTAAGGGGGAGAAGGATAGCGGGGAGACACAAGGAATTACGTCCGAGGAGATCGAGCGGCGTAATAATAGCACCTCCCCCGGGCCTTGCGAGCGGGAACAAAGAGGTTCAGGGTTTTCAGCGTAGGGTGGCGTGTCGGTTCAGCACTGTCAGGTTTACGGAGCCAAGAGAAAATCGTCGAAGAGAGGTTGCCGCCGAGGGCCGAGAGCAAGAGAGAGGGAAAAGAGAGAGAGGAGAGAGAGAGCAGGAGGACTACTATGGCAACTTGGGGCTACCTCTTGGTGGGTGTTAGCGTCCTCGCCCAAATCGAAGCTTTCGTTATTTCTTCGGGAAGGGCACCACCGGCACATCATGTGCTGCGCGCACCAGGTTATCATGATCTCGGTCAGCGAATGACGGGGCGGGCTGCACAAGTCCGGATGGCCGCCAGAGAGAGCGATGAAATGGGTGATGGGACTGATATCAAGCCAACGTCGGAAGACCCCAGCCTCGGTGTGAAAGCTGCTTGGTGAGTAGTTGCTGACCCACCTGAACGTCGAAGAAATACGTACCGAGCCGCCGGTGAATACATGGCAAAACCCGTCTGTCTACATTACATGCAAATACGTTGCTCTATGCAGCTGTTCCGTACAAGCAGGCTTTGCTCAGTAGTGCTTGCCGATGTCCCTCTATATCGCAGGTGTATCAGATTGACGCTAGGGTCAGTGCGGCTGTGACTCCACCAGTCGCCCCTTACGTATACATCGTCAATACGTACGTGACGCTGCTGGATTCCCAGGAAGGAAAGACATGGTATTCCCATATAGATCTAGACAGCAATTCCCGGACAGGGCGGGACCCCAATTCAGTGTGGTGCCGCACCTGCAAGTGTGCAACGCAAGCCGTCTGATTCGCGGAACCCACCTATTTTCTTCTTTCTTGTCGCGACGAAGTAATCGCTGAGATCAAAGTCACCTCTGTATCACGTCCACGTACTTGTCACGTACACGTACCCAGACCCAAATGATAGCGTGCGGGCAGGCGCTGGCGAAGCTGCCAGCCGGTTAGGCCCCTGTGGTTGTAGCGTGCCTTGCGCCGCTAAATACCTTCTCTTCACCTCTCTGTCGTAAATTTGTCTTTTTGGAGTTCTTTCGAAAACTGGCAACACCATCACGGTTGTTTTCTTCTGACAGCCCAGCAGCTCTTGCGCGCGAGGAGGAGTAGCCCGGTCCCAGAGGCTTAACGCCGAGGTACCCGAGGGGGTCCACCCACCCTTCCAGGCTCTGTCGGGTTAGGTTTCGGGGTAGGTCAACAGGGTTGGGGTCAGGAAGAGGCCTAGGTTGTGGCGGAAGAGGAGAACAGGGTACACAGGGTTAACCCGCTCTGAACGAGGTTGGGGCTCGCGCACTGCAGCAGGAGAGTGGTTGCAGAGCCGTGCTGCTTTTTTTATACATAGATGCAAGCCGATCATGCTGCGTCGGTTGTGTCGAAAAGTCTCGGGAGGTTTTCGGCAGCCTTGCGCAACATACAAAAAATACATCTACTGTAATAAAGGCTATCCGCTCGAGATGTTTCCGCGTTCGATTGGATGTTGAAATCTTTATCTTCCACCAGTGAGGGATGAAGGGCAGCTGCTGGACACTGGACTTTTTTTTGCTGAAGAGGTTATACTCTCCTCGACACATGAAACGCGAACACGCTACGCGCGCCCCACCGGCGTTCACACTTCCTTCCCCGTTGCATGTTCTATCGCACTTTACCAAATATCGCGCGAAGGTACGGCTCGGAGCTCTTCGGCAACATCATCGGTCTCGGGAAAAAGAAGGAGCCGGAAGAGGCTTCGTCGTCAACGGCGGAGCCGATATCGCGAGCGGACGCGGTCGCCAGGTTGAAAACGGACTTCGACCGCTTCTACTTCGTCACCGGGCAAATGGACCTCGACTTGTACGAACCCGAGTGCGTCTTCGCCGATCCGTTCGTTGCATTCGAGGGACGAGACCGCTTCAAGGTGCGCACTGCTGCGGTGTCCCGCGCGTATGTCCTTGTTTTTTTATTTGTTTCAAAAGCAAGCCGACGAATATCGTCGGCGTGCTAGTCCCAAGCTCCCTTTTTTTTTCTTTCTCGCGTCATGCCGGCACACCTTATTCGCCAACGAAGGAAAACAACAACACACGTTCCACTTGAGAAAAGAACGGAGAGTCACGCGTCAGGGGCGGGGTCCCGCAGTCTGCAACTGACGCAAACGGAAATATATTGTATCGAGCTATACATACCCACAGTATATTGAGCCAACAAAGTCGAACCTGAAGAAGCTAACCCTAACTGACACCGACGACCCTAGCAACAAGTCATCCTGTAGACGCATGAAAAACTAGCTACAGTAGCTGTTCGGCCGGAGGGTCTGATACACATGTCGCCCGAGCGCTCCCGAAAAGAACAGCCGTGACCGGCCCTGAACGGAGAGAGAGGGCACGTCTCAGAACGCCCATCCATACGTACAGTAGGTGGCCCAATGTAGTGGCAACTTGAATAGTGGAACTGCCCATACATATAGTGGCATCAAAATCTCTTGTCACAATCTCGACATGTACCATGAACCCGATATATCGAATAATGGCACTACCCTGAATAGTGGCATATGTGTTATCCTCTTGCCCCTACATGCCACTATATATATCGGGTCACCTACTGAATGCACTTTTTGTTGCGAGGGACTCGATGCTGTCAAAAATCTCCTCGATATTGATGCTCGCTGATGATCTGTCCAGTACGCACTATCACACCCGAACGCAGGAGACCACCAGAACGCGGACCGGTAATTTAGTCCCTCTCACTCGACAGAACAAAAAACGTCCGGCCGAACTTGCATTTATTTGTCATCACAACAAACGTCAACCCACATCATGAATGACGTACAATGCAACATCATGATTGATTGACATACTCTTTTCTTCTTGCCGTTGGAGATGTGCAACGCTACGCGAGAGCGTAGATAGGTGTTAACCGTAGGAGGCGGAAGCTACGGCGTGGTGACAAATTGTCAAGAAAGGACACGACCAGACAAGATCAGACAACAGGCTATAACCACCACGGACGAACTACTGCACCTCGATAACCCTGCCGTCCGAGTTAGATGCGCACCGCTACACGATGGGTGGACGGGGGACCCCAAAAAACAAAGCATGAACAAAAAAGGAAAAAAAAACATAGATAGATGACGAGAAGAGCGAGGCCAAGAGAGTGAGCCAGGCCCGACAGACTTCCGAAAGGAGTCGGGAGAGAGCATAGGAAAACACCCTCCTCGCCGCTCTGAATCCCCGGAAGCTGTCACATGGGTACTGTAGCCAGCGTCATGGTCATGCCCATTCCCTGGCAGCACCCATCGTCTCCCATACAGCAGCCGGATGCACGGGTAGCCTCTTTAGTCTACTCAGTCAGCAAGATGAAAAACAATCAATCGCGGATGGCGCTGTCGTGGGGACCCCACCGGCGGAAGGCGAGAGAAGAGAGCGGAGAGAAGACAAGGCATTGGCTCTCGAGAACACACCCACTCTCCTCGTCCCTCTGACCACTGTGGCTCGAGATCAGCATTTGAGACCCTGTCGGGCAAGGGGTGGGCTATGCGAAAGAAAATGACAGGGACAAAATAAAAAGTGAACTTAGGTCGATAGAGACCAAACTCTGCCGAGCTTGAGAATTTACATAGATAGACGTTCGACGTTACTGAGCAGAGAACGAAAAATACCAGGATCCTGGTCGCACCCAGCAGTGCCTGCACGGCTGCTAGCAGATGGAATATTATTGTTGGTGGAGACCATGACTTGTTTTTCGCGCGAAAAAGGTTGAGACGAGCTGACGCGCACCCGGGAGTAACAACAGTCTTCGACCGGCCCTCAGCGGAGAGAAACAAGAGGGCACTTTTAACAGCGCCCATCCATGCATTAGCACTGTTTGTGGCGAGGGAGTCCACGCTGTCAACAATTTCGCTGATCGTGCTCGCTGATGATCTGGCTGGTATGCATACGCACGATCACGATCACACCCACCCGAATGAAAAAGACCATCAGAACGCGGACCGGTAGTTTAGTCCCGCTCTTTCGGCAAGAACCAAATATCCCCGGGCGAACTTGTATTGATTTGTAGTCACAAGAACATCATGATATAATCCTGATTGATTGGCGGACCATTTTGCTTGCCGTGGGGGATGTGCATCGCTACCGAGAGCGAGGAAGGCGTTAACCCCTCGCATAGCTTCCTACTACGCACATGAGTGTGCTGCCGTCGACCCTATCCCTCGAGCTCACACACAGCCATACCCGATACATGCAAAGAAAAAAAAACCCAGCAAAAACTGAAATTAATTGGTGGGTGGGCCAGGGCGGATGGAGGATGGAGGACCCCAGAAAACAAGGCATGAATACAACAAAAATAGACATATGCATTGTACAACCATGAAAGAGAGCCAGACCCAACAGGCTTCAGCGAGGAGGCGGAGGAGAGCATAGAAAAAGCACTCTCGCCACTCTGAACCCCCGGAAGCTGTGACATTGACACTGCCGCAAACCCTATGGCCACGCGCATTGCCTGGCAGCGCCCATCGTGTCACATGCAGCAGCCGGGAGCACGGGTAGCCTTGTTTTCTCAGACCACAACAACCGAAACTGCGGAATCTACGGAATCTACGGACGGACTTTCTTTCTTCGTGGACTTTCTTCGTGGTAAAATGTTGTAGTGACAACAAAAACAATGAACATGACTAGGAAGAGACTAAGCACCACGGACGAACTACCTCAAATACGCCTGCCTGCCGTCCGTGTTAGATGTGCACCGTTACAAGAAAAGCATCGACCGTTCTTATTGCTACTACGTGTGTACACGAGTAAAGATTGTGCTGCCATCGACCTTATCGCGCTCAAGTCCTCAATTACGTACGCAGCAAACATGCATGCTTGCGTGCGACGGACCGTATGTATTGTTAGTCTTTGTCTCGAACTGCTGTTGTTGTTCATGGATGACGACACAGACAAAAAAGCAAGAGACGCGCGTCGTTACCTATACGCGAGCGACTCGCTTCCTACGCGAGCAACGCGCGCAACCTACAGAGACGATTACCTTACGAGCTTTGCAGCACACGCTTTTGCAGCACACGCTTTTGCAGCACATTTCGAGCACCACTCAGCAAGAAATAATTCACTCACAAAAACGCAAACCAAAAATAAATATGGAGGATTGTGGCATGCAGCATGCAGGACCCTATTTCTCTGTTCAACCGGCCGTTCCCATGGCGAAACAGACGAGGAACAGTCAAGGCCGAGTCGTGTCGGTCACAGGAGGTGGAAACTGCTCAAACTCGGGGAGGGGTCATGGTTTGCGATTCCCTACGGAATCATACTTGAGGCACCACGAGATTCTCGCTGTGGCTCGAGATCAGCATTTGAGACCGGGTCGGGCAAGGGGTGGGCTATGCGAATGAGAATGACAGGGACAGAAAAAGTGAATTTAGGTCGATAGAGACCAAAGCTCTACCGAGCTTGGGAATTAGCATCTACACCGGCTGACCAATGAAAAGACGGCACTCTTACAGCGGGATGATGAAAGAGGCGAACACGTTTCTCTAGGCTCCCCCGGCAAGGGGACGCAGAGGAGGGTGGACGACAGTGCCCAGCCTCCGGATTCGAAGCACGAGGAAAGGCTCAACACCATCAGCTACTAAATAGTAGCGGTATTCCTGCCGTGATATCTTCTCCTGCGAGCATCATCAACCTGCATTGAGTTGTTCTCTGTCCGACTTATCTGTGCTCCATTCGGCTTGCCACTAGCTTCTTTCCGGTTCTCGCCCCGACTACCAATGCTCTGAAGGCCAAATTGTCCTGCTTTTTTGTCGTTGTCGACGCACATACGGCCGAAGTGATGGGTCGAAGCCCTTACTCCCTTGATGATTGATATTCGTCTACCGTTCGCCTCTTATTTGTACCCGTCCAAGGCATCGCCACCATCATTGATTTCGTCTTGACGGTTTTCTTCACGCTTGGTGTATGTGTGAGTCTCTTCTTGACTTGTGTGCGGACGCATCACTGTCTCCGTCTTCTTGCGCGGGAGTACCGGCAACGACGACGGTAGCAGTGCCTCTGAAAGCAACAAATCTTCCTTTTATAGACTATTTGCGTGTCGCACATGCCAATGTTCGTTCTTGGTTGCTGCAACTCCGACAAGTTCCATGCCGGCTTCACACGGAGTTAAGAGGGGTCCCGCTGTTACGTTATTGGTATAGACGGGTACCCTCCTCGACCTTCCCATCCCTTCCCCTCGTCGACGCGCGCATTCGGTTGGCAGAACAACCTGGACAACCTCGGCTCGCTGATGCAAGACGTCAGTCTCGACGTGACCAGTTGGGAAGAGGCGGAGGCGTCCATCAAGACAAAGTGGCGGTTTCGCTGCGTGCTCGGCCTGCCATGGAAACCCACCCTGGCGGCTGCGGGGGTAAGTGAGAAGTCAACGGTTCTATCTCCTTGGTCATGGCATGCCTGCAACTTGCACGGCTGCAGTACGGGCTTGAGGATTTTACTTCCCCACGCCGCTTCTTCGTGGTTTCAGCCACGGGTCGAGGTTCATCCCACATTGCGATCGGAGCGTTTTCTTTTTTTATTGGATGCGTGAACCAGTTGACAAGTAGATACAGCAGTAGTGTGTGCCGAAACGCCGAAACATATTGTGACGAGAGTTAACCTGTGCCATCGTTGTTCGTTTTTCTAAAGCCATGATGTGGCTCGACCTGCGCCGTTTCGCTTTGGTGCTGCTCTGCCTACTCGCGCTTGCTTTGCTGTCCCGTCCTCTCTCTGGCAGGGAACGGAATTCTTCTTCAACCAAGAATCAGGTCGGATCGAGCGCCACGTCGAGTCGTGGGAAATCGAACCCATCGACGCTCTCAAGCAGCTCATTCGCCCCGGCCGGAAAAAATCGAGTGGGTCGTAAACCAAGGCGTATGGACGGAGCGAGAGCGAGAGCGAAGCGTCGCATCGATTCGTTTCGTTATCGACTTCTTTGTACATAGCAGCGCTGAGGCGAGTCCGTTCAGGGCGACAGATGGAAATTGCACGAGCCTATGCAGCCTGCAGCATACAGCAGTGAAACCAGAGTATGTTTTGTAGAAAAGTAGCGGGTAGCTGCATGCAGAAAGTTGTTTGCAGCTGAGTAGAAGAGTCAAGGGGTGCGTGCTCACCCGAGTCATGGGTGTGGCTGGCGCTCAAGAAAATTTCCCCTTTTTTTTCCTCCCCGTAGTGCACGTTTCGGCCTTGTGCAATCAAGCGTATGTGGCAAGGGAGTTTTCGAGCAGAGCGTTGTGCAAAGTATAGAATAACATCGCGATTGAGATAGCCGGCGAGAAGGGGATACGGTCGGTCTTTCGCAGCCGCCATGGGCATGGCCACGCCACGAACGGACGAAATAATCGCTGCAACACACCGAATCGACATGCACTTAGAGCAAACCATGAGTTGTATGGGCAGGCTTGAACGTGTTTGCTTCGTCCCGACGTGACCTTTGCGCCTTTCAGCAAATTTTTTATTGGCGTGGTGATGATGTGATTCCTTCTTTCGCATTCTACAATTGTCCCCCCCCAAAAAATGGCACTACCTGTGGGCTCTGTGTCGCAAAAGGTTCCAAGCACACAGCAAATAACATCCATCCAGAACACGCTGCCGCAACCAGCTCGCTGACTTTGATACTCCACGCCGAGCGATACGGTAACTACCAGCGCACAAGGCACAACACCACTACTGTCAGCAACACAACAAGACATTTTTCGTCAACCCTCCTCGGCGTACGCTGGCGTACGGATCTACATGACACGCCAACGACAGATAGCGTAAAACAAAAAACCACCGTCGAGCAGAGTCACGAGGAGGGAGGTTCTTCGCCTTCTTCGCCGACCGCGCCGTCCTTCGGCGAGAGAGTGAGAACCCCGTCTTTGCCCATGGCCACGTCGAACTTCTCGGCGATCTCGGGAGTGAGGTCGGGCGCTCTGCCCTTGGTCACCTCGTCCGGCGTCCCGGTGGACTGCATGTACTCCTCGATATTGTTCCCGAAAGCGGGAAAGTCCAACTTACGCGAGCAAAACAACACAAACGTGCAAAAGGAGAACGCGACAGGGGCAGTCAGTGTAGCGAGGAAGAAATAATGCTGGAACGGAATGTGACAGATTTCGACCAAAAGTCATGTTAGTGAGGGCTTTCTTCCTGACGTGCGGGCACATAGACAAAGAGCCCCGCTAAAACTCGGGATTAAAAAAAAACATCACCGGATGTGGTATCTAGCGCACCCTGGTGCCTTGAGTAATACGTAGATCAGGACTTGTACTTACTAGCCACCGCCCGTCACCGAGCTTGGTGCACCCGCGAACGAGAGCGTTGTAGTAAACCGTTGCGTACTACGGGTAGGGGGAAAAGGCTGATCAAAGACCTTTCTTACGTGACACAACATCTCACCTTCTTCAAGTTGTCCGCGATGAGGTGCCTCGCCCCACAGGACTGGCACGTGCAGATCACGATGCCCTCCTCGTAGGCGTTCTTGTTGATCATGTACTGGCTCACCCCTTCGCACAGATTGCAGGTGAACTGCATGAACAGCTGCCGTTGCCCCGTGCCCTTGGCGCCTTCCGCCTCTGGAACTCCCCCACCCCCGGCAGCCCCGCCTCCCTGTTTCGCCGCTTTCTGCTCGACGATTTGAATCCGAAGCCCAGCGGCGCATGGATGCAGCATCCACGAGGGTATGACAGAGATGACGTTTGTACGCCCCGTGGAGGGAATGTGGAGCAGACAAATAGCATCCAGAAAGCGCTACCGGCACACTCATCGGCACAAAACAACAAACAACTGCCATTGGTGTATGATGCATACATGCCTACTGTACTCACACACGCGAACAGATGACGGGTGTCAAGAGGCAAACAAGGCGCAAGTGAACCAAACGATTTCTTCTATACATAAGGCCACAACCCGTACGCATACATCCAGCAGTACGCATACATCAAGCAGTACCACCGGTGATCCACGTTCTGCAACCAACCTTCTCGTGCGTCGTTGACGGCCGTAACACTTAAACGGTCAGAAATAAGTCTCCTTGTTGTTCTTGTCTTCACATAAAAAACTGTCCCGATCTCTGCTCAGTACCGTCCGATACCCGAGTGCTACCTCACGTGGACACCCTCTGTGGCAGCACGCTAATTCCCATACCCCCAAAAGGTTGCTATTAGACCAAACATGGCCGCACGCTAACTCTATACCGCCCAACGGGGTACCAGATAAATTCCTTGGTGAAGTGAATCATGCAACCAGCAAACCAACCGTTGCACTTGTCGCGCACCTTTCCTTTCCCCTTCTTCTTCGAAGACTTCGCTGCTGCTGCTGCTGCCGAGTCATCTCGCTGCCCGAACCCAGCGTTCAACGGGCGACACGTGTTGCTTCGAGCCGAGGAGGACGAGCGTTGTGTTGGATGCAGCAAGACTCCTCGGCTACTGCCACTGCTGCGACCGCCGTTTCTTGCACGGCATTCTCTCTGCTGCTGCGGTGGTCGGGATGAACCTGCGCAATGATGGCCGTTGTTGCCGCCGGGTGGTGGGTGCAATCGCAGTTGGTGGTGCGCGTCAAACCTCCGAACTCATGTGAAACGTGCGATGGTCATGCGTGTCAGCCACTTTGACACACACACACAGCACAGCAATATTTCAAGTAGCGTGAGCCTTGCACAGATTCTTCAAATCGATACTCATCTCCCTCGTCATGTTGTTGTGTGCAGTGCACATGTCTGGACCAGCTGTAGTCTCAACGTCGTTCAATCAACAGCAAGGAGGGAACCTACGACAACGCAGTCGCACACATCAAGCTGACAGTCCCGCCAGAGAATCAAGACGGTACAACATGACTCGCGCTCACCGACTGGGACTACGACGAAACCGTCCGCCTGGTGGTTGCCAGTCAAATGGAGCCCTATTAAGGTCGCGCCCAACGTTACTGGCACCATGGTCTTCATCGTGGCTGGGAGGTACTCTCGTACTTTCAACTTTGAACACAGCAGTCGGTGTCTGATCTGGTTTCGTAGGGTCGCCCAGGGTCACATGAGAGGAGATTCTAATTTTTTAGAGGGGGGGGGGGGGGTCCGCGGTCACCCCCGTTCAAGAGACTACGCAAAAAAGAACATACGACAACACGGCAACAACGTAGGCGCGACCTCTATGCAGCTCACACCAATCGGATAACATACGTTGGAGCAGGTGATGGGACTGGCGGAGGGGAGTAACCTCGCTGTGAACCACACAAAGGTCATTTGAAAATTGCATCTTTTCCTTTTTAGGGCATCCGAAAATATAATGATTTTCGCAAGTCCATATTTGAGCATGATACACCACCCGATTACTTCTTACATCGGTTGCGCCACAGCTGAAAATGTCAAACATGGACTTGAAATGTCGACGCGCGAGAGAGTAGTGATGAACCTCTGTTGCTTTCAAACTCAAGGCATGGATGGGCGCCTGATGCAAAAATTGCACATGTTCAGCGAGACGACGTGACCAAGGCCTTTTCTTTGTTGGCGCAAAAACTTGGTTGGCTACACATCAGATTTACCAGATGCAGTTGGCTATCGTGTTCTATGGAACGCCAGTGTGTAACCAGCGTGGAAACGAGCAATCAGCCTACAGAAGCCCGAACGGTATATGAGTGAGAAACATTGTGTTGTGAAGAGAAAAGGCAGCCGAGTAGATAGAAAGCTGCAACGACGGAGAGCCTCTTGTCGTACACAAGTCGCAGTGAGACGAATGTAGCGGCGTGAGCAATTACAAAAAAACTTCCCCACCGACCCCACCGATGTTGGCGGCGAAAACACCCGCACATTGACACACGCAGCGCTTTCTTCATCAATAACACAGCACGCTCCTATGGCAGCACCTTGCGTTCGCCCTCTGGTCAGGCTCGACAAAACAAGCGACATGCGGGTCAGATTCCTTTTATACATTGCAGTCGACGCTGCTTTCGCCTACACAAAACATACGCCCACATACACTCGGCCGCCCACAAAAACTGGCCGTCACAAGGAAAACCAAACGAAACAGCCCCGCCAAGTTTCGCTCCTGCTAAAGGTGCAAAAGCAAATGTCACCCTTTGCCTGTTACTGAAATTGTACGGTCGTATCGTATCTCATCGCTTCGGACCCCATGCAAATACGCCCGCTCCGCCCAATTCCGCGTGGGACGTGCTTTCCGTTGATGTTCCTGTTGCGCCATCTTTACCATGGCCTCGCCCCGATGTCGGCGGCATCCGCTTCACTAACCCATCCACACCCACAACGCCACTCCTACTCCAACCGGACACGCCATCGAAGTCGTCGTTGTCTTCGACATCAGCGAGCCCACCGCCGCCACCGTCACCACCACCACCACTACCAAAGTTTCTGGAAAACTCCTCATGCACATCCACAACCCTTCGATAGTACGGCTCGTTGTCGCTATCGCTGTCGAAGCCAGCATTGCCGTCGCTGCTACTGCTTCCGTTCTCTGACGCGCAAGAGGACCCCGACCCGCCGGCGTAGACGTAGGGCGAGATACCCGCACCTTCTTCGTCTCCCTCATCCTGGTGGCAGCGTGATTGCGAGAGGCGTCGGAAAGCGGAGAAATAAGGGCCACGGGCACTCATTTCGCCGCAATCAGTGGCTAGCCACATGGATCGGGAGGGCAAAAAATCATCGTAGTACTTTCCACGAGATATCTGAAGCGGCACGGAGACGGTGCTCCAGACAAATCATTTCATGGGGCTTCCCATGTATTTTCATTCCCAAGACGCCGACTTATCGAAAGATCGATCACAATACCAAACGTACAGGGTAAATAGGCACGTTCCCACCAGCCTGTGCACACACAGGCGTCATCCCACGATATGCCCTCATTACCTCGGGGTAATCGTTGCCGTAATACCCCTCCGAGTTCGAGTCGGGGTCCTCCCCATCGTCGCCCTCTTCGCCGAGACCGCTCCAGTCGGAGTCGTGCTCGAACTCCAGCTCAACGCCCGCCGCCATCGTCCCGACCGCGTTCTCGTCTACGGGGCCGATCCCAGAGAGACGCACGACCGGAGGCGCGCCGCCGCCCGCCGCGTTAATCGTCGTCTGCTGCCGTGCATTGATTACAACACACGAAAGTTTCAACACAGCCAGATCCGGTGGTAAGACGGCGGGTTGGTGGAAATAAGGGCGTGACGAGAGTGCTTGCGACTTATGCAGAGCTGAAAACTTTGGTGGTGTTCTGTTTGTTCCCTTTCAAAACAAAATGGAGAACCTAGTGTATGAGTAATGCATATGCCCTAATACTGAAGTGATACCCATGCGTATTTGCCGTCAGTTTTGGCGTTGAAGGCTAGCTTCAAGGCGTAGATGTCTTCCGCTTAGTCGATCTCTTTGCGCGAGAACGGAAAGGGGTCTGATAAAGAGGGATATAACGGGAGACGTACCAACGACAGCTGACCAACCAACGACTGCTGGCAACCAAGCAAGGAGCAGTCGACCTGCTCCCTACTTGTCTTGTTGTGTGAGTGTACTCAATGACACCTTCCTCCCGTTGCCTCTTTCCTTCGAAGCTAACAAGCGGACCTCGTACCTTAACCATCACTGGGACACACAGCAAAAGAGGGAGTGCAAGCCAAACACACGCATAGCGCCTCGAATCTCAAAAGCCGTACCTTTTCGCCAAGCTTTCCGCAAGAGGTAGGCACTGCAGCAGACGGCGCCCCCGCCCCCGCCCCCGCCCCAGGCGCTGGGGCTCCCACTGCCGGCGGTCCCACCGTCGAGGCCTGTGCGGCAGGTTCGTAGTAGTAGAGATCGTACACGAAGTCGCCACCACCGCCGCCTCCACCACCACCTCCCCCTCCCGAGCTGCGGCGCTTCGAGGAACGAACCCTCGCCTCTTCCTCTTCCTGATCGGCAACGCGCTGGAGCTCCGCGAAGCACTCGCGGTGGCCGCGCATGCCGGCGAAGAGCGCGGCGCTCCTGCCGTGGGCGTCGACAAGGGTCGCCTTGGCGCCGATAGACAGCAGGTGCCGGACAGTGCCCAGGTCGCCGTGGAAGGCGGCGGCCATGAGGGCGGTGGAGGCGTCGCCCAGTCGACGGCGGTAGTTGACACCGGCGGGGGACGGGTAGGAGGAGGTTGTGAGGATGTCGCGGAGGCTCGACATGTCCCCTGTCTGGAACGCCTGTGATGCGGGGGGTGTTTGAGGAAGCAAAGCAAAGCAAAGCCAGGGTGAAGGAAGACGACGATTGGTTGCTGATGGTAGTATTTGTAGTGTCTCGAAACGAGGTAAACACAAGGGCAAGTTTCAAGGGGTTGGGAGATGAAGGAACACTTCAACAAAATCCTACTACCCCCGGGTTCATGTTGAAAGAAGGAAGAAGGAGGCCTTTTGAGTTGACGCTGCACACAGACATACCTAGTCAAGAAAACAAAAAGCGAGGAATTATTTAGAGCGAATCGCTTTTGAAGTGTTTCTTTCAGTCGAGCAAGGATCTGAGCACGACTCTCTCATGGCGTGAATCAATACTTACACCCTCATCCATCCCAGTTGTGTGACACCAACGGCGCATGGCCCCTCACCGTGAAAATAGCCTTGTCCATCTGCCGCTCTGCAGGGGTCAGAATGGGTGCCGCTGCGCGCTTCGCAGTAGAAACATGAGCGCCTCCAGCTGCCCCCGCATCGCCCATCACCGAGGTATCCATCATGGTACTTGCATCAGCCTGCCCAACAGCGTGAAGGTCAATCACGTGCAGGTTGGCTGGAGCAGCCGTAGCAGCTCCATCTGATGCCAGTCCACTCGACTGCGGAGAAGGGTCCTGTTCGTGCCCGCCTCGCCCTGACGAGTCTGCGGGAGCGGGGCTGTTCTTGCGAACGATACCCACTGCCCTTGCCTTCACTCGCCTCACTTCCAGGTAGTCGAACACAGCGGCGGTCGGCGGTGGCGGCGAACAAGAAGCATAGTTGGTGTTGAGGCCTTTACTTCGCAGCAGAGCGTCCAGCCGCCCTCCGCTTTCACCTCCGTCCCCTCCGCCTTCCTCGCCTCCGTCCAACGCACGCTTCTGACGCGCGATAGGCGTACCAGCGACAGGGGGCCGCCCCTCGTCGCCTCGGTCGCGGCTTCCGTCTGGCTCGGTCGTTCGAACACGCTTGTACACCAACCTCCTCGGCGGGTGCATCCTGACAGTAGGCTGCTGCTGTTGCTGCTGCTGTTGTTGCAACGGCGGAGGATGCTGTTGTTGCCGTTGAGACTCGGCAGTCTTGTCGAGGCTAAGGACGGCCATGGTCTCCGCGATGGAGGTAGTTCCGGCTGCACGCCGCTTGCGATTCGGCATCGCTTCTTGCTCCTCGCTTCTTTCCCCTTCGTCGGTGGTGGCTACCAGGAGGCTCTCCACCGCAGCATCTCCGCGCTTGCGCTTGACTCGGAGCACGACGAGATGCGGAGCCGGCGCTGGCTTCTTTCGCGAAGCCGCATTCTTTTCGATCGCCGCCGCCACAGCCTTCCGAGATTTTCGTGGGACGGGAGCCTGGGACATGATTAATGGCCTAGCTTGCTTTTTCCCAGGACTGTTTCTGCCTACTCTCCCACCACACGTGACAGACTCGTCTGCCGTGTGCTGTGAGCAGCCAGTAGTGCATGACCGGGTGGGTACCACACAGAGTGTTTTTTCGAAAACGGGGTACCTACCCACTGTTTCTCCTAATTCTTCCGCAGACCCTCGCTGCATCGTGTCCAATTGTCCTGTCCTGCACAGAGCACTGCACTGACATCACCGCACCACCAACCCACGCCCACCGTAGGCTGTTGGCTGTCTGCACTATGATTCGAGGTGTCATTATCGTCAACAACCATGGGAAGCCTCGTCTTGTCAAGTTCTACCAAACTGTGGTGAGCACGCAGCAAAATCGCTACAGCAGTCAGTCTACAGCTTCGCAGGGGTGCGCTTCCTTTGTTGTTCGTCAGCAGGTGTTGTGAGGTGCACACATATTTTCCCTCTGTTACCCTATCCTGATTCCGGGCCGCTGTGCGAGGAAAAGGGCATAACAGTGCTGGACCTAGCTTGTGTTCGGCGATTATATCACTACTGCAAACTACTGCACGCGTGCGTCTCTTGCCCATGTTGCCAACCTATTCCGCCGCATATTCCTATACACTCTGCACACAGCCGGCAAGCCTGCCCCAGATACTGCTGCTGTAAGATAGATGTCATGACGTCGTTGTCATTGGGGCTATTCACATTGCGTATTGGCGTCCATGACTTGTCATCATTGGTGTCTGAGAAAATTAGCCCGGCGCATAGACCACTATGCAAGACAACAGGACAACGCATCGCGCCGCAGCCTGTGTGTGAAACCCGCGTGTTGCCCCTCTCTTTGTCTCGGTGATCCACTACGGTGCCTCACATACTGCTGTATTCTCCTATGCACGATGTCCCCCTCTGTATACAAACGAATCCCCGTCAAACACCACCCAATTGATCAAACACACTAGGTCGGCGAAGAAGCCCAGAAAAGCGTGATACAGCGCATCTTTCAGCAGGTGGCACAGCGGCCAGACTCGTTCTGCAACTACTTGGAAGGGATCATTCCCGAGTGGGGGGAAGGCACGAAGCTCATCTACCGGCACTACGCGACGCTCTACTTCGTGTTTGCCGTAGATTCGCAGGAGAGCGACCTGGGCATCCTCGACCTCGTTCAAGGTATGTTTTGCGACCATTGAAACGCCCGATTTCACTCACCCCTTGGCCATCGCCACGCAGCCTGTGGCGTGCTGTCTCCTCTCCGGCCTTGCTTGGCCCTTCAAATATTTAGCTCTGTTTCTCACGTGTGGCTTTATTCGAGCGCCTGCAAGCTGCTGTGTGGCGTTTCTCATGGCACTCGATCCTTCTGCCCTGCCTCGTCCGGAATACGCCCGAATGAATGACACTGCTGCTGTGCCGGCAGTCTTCGTCGAGGCCTTGGACAAGTGCTTTGAGAACGTGTGCGAGTTGGACCTCATCTTCCACTCCGACAAGGTATGCCTTCCTGCTGATTCCAGTTGCTGTTGTGGAAGAAGGCTGCGGGTTAGGCGTACAGTCTGAAGCTGGGCGTGATCGCTCATTCTCCGTCCGTTCAAGGAGTGCTTCCTCTCCTGTTGCGGTCAGCTTGTGCTCTCCTACGCGTCCTGACTACTATAACCGGTACGACCGCTACATGTAGATGCATGCGTGTCTGTTGCGAAGCGCAAGGCGAACGCTATTAAGCGGGTGTACCTTTCCTACCTACTCTCGCTCCCCTTTCAAGGTTCACTACGTTCTCGACGAGATAATCATGGGCGGCATGGTGCTCGAGACCAACATCAACCAAATCCTGCTGGCGATCAACGACCAAAACCGACTCCACGCCGCCTCGAACAAGGTCGGCCTTCCGCCATCTGGGGGTATCAGCGCACATGGGAGGCCTTCAGGCGGGGTGGGGGGTGGCGGATCCTCGGGCATTCCTGGGATGCGAACACGATGACACCGGCAGAAGTGTAGGCTGCCGTTGCACGTAAAATTTCTTGAGATATTGAGGCACCCCATTAGCCAACAGAACGTCAGGGTATTGTCGAGGAAACCAACCCCGACTTACATCGGTATACCTGGGAGTGGTGTGAATCATGAACGACATCAGCTTCATCGCCGTCGCGGAACTGGGCGAATCGGGTCCAATAGATGTTTCGTGATCAATCCGTCGGAAAACGCCAAGAAAACAGGCTGGGTGACAGGTGTGGGGAAGGATTCGTGAACGGCTGGGAATATTTCGGCTCACTTGGCTGGACTTTGGGTGCTGAGTTTATGCTTGTTCCACTGGCCGGGGTGATATTTGCCCGTCTCGGCGCCTAGTTAAAGAGTCGCGGTGGCGCAAAGAGAAGTACAAGGTGGTCGGTAAACATTGGCGCACACACATGCGGCCCGCGCCGCAAACGTGGAGACAACCAAGTAGCATACAAGGAAGGACAGATGAAGAAGTGCACACATGGGTCCCTGCCCTCGTCCTGCGCGACGGTGACAGCTTTGTTTGTGTCCCCCTGATGAGGGGTTGGTTGATTGGGCGGGAAAGCGTGAAAGAAACCCCATGCCACGTACGTCGACTATCGCCAAGCGGGAGCAGCCTGAAATTTCGTGAGCTGAGAGAAAATCAATCTCAGTTTCTGTGCATATGCCAGGATTTCTGTCAAGACATAAAATAATGTAGTCGTTGTTTTACCCGCAGCAGAACCCCCAACTTGCAATTGGGGGGAACATCTGGAATCAACGAAGGCACATGCTGCGGCTGAAATCGATTCGCTGCGTGGCGTGTGGGGCACACGCGTCCACTGAGAACAGGGGGGAAAGGTGTGCGGAGCATTCGTCCGATCGACAGGGGGAACGTTTCAGGGATGTGCGCCTTGACGATAAATGAATCATGCGTCAAGCCTGCGTACGCAAAGCCATCAGCATTTGGCGACCTTACATGAATGTCCACATCATTCGTCTCGCCAGTTCGCCATGCTCATTCGAGAACAATCATGGCGTGGCGTTCATTGATACTGACCAACGGTTTGGAGCACAGGACGCGAGCAGCATTAGACTGCAATGCCTGGTGAGGCTACTGTCGCAGAAAACCGAAAATCTGGTGATCCGATTAAACCAATGTTGAGTACCGCATGGAAGGTAGAGCCCGAGCAACAACCGCAACACGCTAAGCAGTCCTTCCTCTTTCTTACCCATACCGAGATATTTCTCTTATTGACAGCTCCAACTTCTGCACCATCTTTTCATCCACAACAAGCACCCCGACTGCACCATCGCGCCGGGTCGCGTATCCCACAGAGAGCAAGCCACACGTGTCCACAGATAATCCAACCTCTACACAGAGCTACGCGAAGCTCAGAACAATCCTATCGGGATGAAAGGACCATCATAGCATGTCGAACAGAATCAAATCGGCGTCGACGGGAGCCACAAACCCCGCAGCGACGGGCAATGTGTACCTGGACTAGAAATGTGCACAATACAGGTAGCGTGTCCAAGCATGGAGCGTTCGAGCCTGTGAAGGGTTCTTCCTTCATTCCCCAACGCAAATCCTATTCCCGTCTAATAAAATCAGTAGTCTAGCTTGCCAAACAAGCTTTGTGAAAACAACAAGCTCCTATTCCCAGGGGCCCGGCCGAAACGCGACTTTCTTGCGCCGAGTTGAGACCCACGATTACCTCAGACTATCTAGGGGTGGGTTAAAGCTACAAAAGCAAATCGTCCTGCCTGGTAAGGTGCACTGCCTCACTCAACTGCACCGAGCTGGAAAACGAATAGGTCCACCGCATCAGCTCCTTGTGACCTCCCTGTAACGGTGCCCCACACTTGAGTGTATCTGTAGTAGCAGCAAGAGAAGAACCAGAGAGAACCCCACCCAGAAGGACGGACGCCATGCCCAACAGCCATCCAGTACGTTCGAGCGACCAGTACGTTCAAGCCCGCGGGTCTACCATAGGTATCTGTAGTCTTGTTCACTCTAAGGGGTGGGGGCCACGCGCTTCAGCTGGAGGTCGTAACGTACGTCCATTCCTGGCTTGACGAGGCAATCGCCGTTGTCGATACATATCCCCTTGTCGCCAAACGCCATGTTAGCCGGCACCACCATCTGAACCTCCGCCCCGGCCTGATGTTGCAGAGAAGGGCAAAAACAATACGCATGTGTCGGTGTTTCGTCCATAACATGGTTGGTTCTCGATCTTTCCGCAACAGCTAAGGTACAGGGATGGATATTGAACATTCGCACCGTGTTGCACTTATGCAAAGGTTCGGGACGGTAGGTCGCAGATTCCGCACGGCGTATGCGTGCGAGTAGTAGACCCACCAGGCCGAAACACACCACCAGAAAGGATAAAGGATAACTTTGATAATAGAAACGGCAGAGAGTAGTTTCGCTTTCAGATATGCTGCCGGTGCAGTCGACGTATGGGGAGCGACGAACAAAGAAGGTGTTCACGCCCAACGGAGCAGTGATCGTACGGCATACGCCCGATCAAGAGGCTAACCAAGCGCGGCCTTCTTCCTGGAGGCCAGCGCCGCGTCAATCGAGTTGCGAGTGCTTTGCTGCGGTCGGAAAAGCCGAGTGCAATCACAACGAGGTGGGTTTTCTTGGGAGGCACCGGGTATACGTTCGACGTTTCGTGCTCTTAGCATTCGCGCGGCGGAGCAAACGCTACTGCTGTGGGGCAACTGCTAGGGTTTGGGAATGACCAAAGGTTAGCCACCAGACAAGCCGGCAACAAAACGGTCCACCGACAGCACTTATTTGTCAGACCACGCAGTAGTCCCATGTCTTGGGTCTCACATTCATCAGCCGCAGCACCTCTTCCCACCCCTTGATAACCTGTCGCTTCCCGAGCTGGAAGGCGATGGGCTTCCTGCCCGGTGCATTGCTTGCATCGAAAACTGCCCCATCCGGTAGGAACCTGCTCAAATAAAAATATACATATATTCAGCTACATAGGTACATGAAGGAAGGGAATCAACTACATAGGTACATGGCACACACAAATCAGCTCGGGGTACTGTATTGCCGCTGCAGCTCACGGCAGAATATGCTCGCAGTATCGCGTACCAATTGACATCCTGCAACAATACCGGTGTACCTACTGAATCTCGATGCTGAAGCTGCAGTCAGGAACCTAAGCTCGTAGGGATACACACATCTCTAAAGCGCTCGCAAGAACTCACCCGCGAGCAATCATGCGTGAGAGATCCCGCCCGCCCCCCTTTATCTCACATAAGCATCAACCCGCCACCGACTGGACGATCAATCTCACAGAGCGTATATATGTACAGCAGTGTACAGGCGTGACATGGGTTTGTACACGCAACTCCATGCTGCCGCAAAGCACACTTTTCCCCTCAGAGTAGCCACCTCTGTCCTATAGCGACATCGCGCGCAACGAGAAAGCCAACCGCCCATCACTTGCAGCAGAGACTAAATCACCGCCGTTTCTACATAGATAGGTCGTCGCCGCCATGCAAGTGTAAGTGCTTCGTCTCATATGGGCAACGACTCATCACTTCCGAAATGATGTTGTAGGCTACATACAACGGTCTCACCCCGTGAACTCCACGACGCAGAAGTCACCGTCTCTAGCGACGGGCCCGGTTCCCTCTTTCAGCACAATGAACTTGACTCCACCGTCTGTCGTGAACACTGTTGAAGATTTGTCGGAGCACGGGGGAATGCAATTATTAGGAAAATTCAATACAAACACAGACTTGTACTCATTCGAGATATAACCACAGCAGTCGAACATGATCACGTCGAACAAAAAAAAAAAAAAACATCAGGTTGAGTACATGTAGATAAGTTGTAGTCAGAGCGGCGGGTGTAGGGTAGTAAAACGGCGAAGATTCACCCATGCAAGTTCCCAATCATCCATCTGCTCCCATCGTACACGATCGCACAAATCACATGCCACACGCCATTGTGCCGTTGTTGCAATACACGATTGCTGCAGTAGCACACCCGAGATCGTCAGCAAACGCGGAGGGGGGTACGTACCACGGGGGGTGCACCTGCTACTTACAAGACATTTTCGCAGAGACGGACTGTTTTCTTCGTCGTTCGTGACTCGCGATTACATTGTAGACCGCGAGTTCCTCACTACATCACAGTACATCAAGGACAAGGAGTCCTCTCCACGCTTTCTCAAGTTCGGCTTTCAATCTCATGGCGGCCGCCGCCGCAACAGAACTGCCGATGGTGTGCGTGGAGAAACATGAACACAGCAACAACTTGAGCAGTTCCTTGAAGCGAGCCGAACACACCTCTCCGGTTGGGTTCTGCTTTCGCAGCTGCGAGGGCTCCTGCAGGCAGCACCGCAGAGGCAAGCAAGCCAGCGACTGCCGCACTCGCGGTTTGGATGACGTCCCTTCGCGTCCCATCCAGCCCTGGTCGCGGCGAGGATGCCGCCATCACCTTCGCGACAGCATCAACCTTCTTCTGCCGAAGCGAAGCTGCACCGGTAACGGGGCCGCCGGTGAAGGCATTGCAACCTGCAGCAGCAGACAGTGCAATGCACGCAACTAGTCCAAGCTTCATCGCGTAGTTCTTCTTCAGTGTAACGTGCTGTGACGGATGAACGACGGTGTCGCAGGGTGAGGATGGTATCAAACGATAGAGCGGTTTCGCGAGGAACGGAGCAAGGGGGTGACGCGAAATCATCGCGATGATCATGAATCCAAAGCAAGGCTTCCTGCTTGTTTGCAGTTAAAGGCATGAGACGACCTTCCGGATGTATGCAAACCAATCTCTCACCTCTTTCTAAAAGGGGGAGTTCGGGTTTATCTGGGCGGTCGCCAGTGGTTCACGCAAGAAAGGGCTCTGATGGCCAAAAAAAGTGGTTACTTCATTTATCGAGCGAACGAACGAACCAACGGTCTAGACAAAAATAATACCGACGACGAACTCAACTCGCTTGGACATGGGCACGTGCGACACCCAACATACTTCGTTTGATGAGAGGCACATCATTCGGCCACTCCACCTGCTTTTCGACTCGATGAAAGTACTGTACGGCGGCAAGCTTGCCGAAAATTGTCGGGTCAACGTTACCCTGATCTGCACACCACCACATCTGCATCACCCCAAGACGTGTGATTGTGAGAGTGTTCCAACACGGCGGTCCTGACGAATTTGTTAGTCGAATTGCGCCACCCACACGCCAAGCGCCGATCGACTACAACAGACCTTTTGTGCGCAAATAAACAATGGTGGATTAAGTGTTTCTGATTGTTTACGAACCTTCGTTCGTGTTCATCGGTTTTAGGGGATAAGTTGGGGACCTCATTTCATCATCATGTAGGTAAAGCGTGGAGCGATGTGTGGCCAGTGTGTTGAGTCTTGACCGGGGTGGGGGCGGTGAGGATTTGAACCAGAACTCAAAGGCGTGCGTAAATTTACGCTGCTCTGTAGACTCCCAATGTGGCGAGCGTGCAGAATGTCCCCTCCCTACAAGCGGTATCTCGTAGAGACAAAAGCCTCAACAAGTCTTCCGATTGAAATATTCAATGAATGGCGCTGTCCATTGCTGCCAAAGCAGCTTCCCCAACAACCCTGCCGCGCCCCTTCTTGACGTCTTCCTTCTCGCAGCTGAACCCATTCGTTCGCGCCGTTTAGCAGCCCGCTATTGTTCGGCTGGAGTTGCCGTGGTGCCGAGCCGACAAGAGACGGCGGCGATGATGTAGAGCGGCTAGGGCTCAGAAGCTGTGACCGAAGACAATAACATGGTGACGACGTGGCAGGGTTGGGGAAGCTGCTTGTGGCAACCATGGCACGTGCATGGTGTCACCACTACAACGCCAGCCGAGCTTAAGGGGGCGGCGAAAGCGGGAGCGAACGAAGGTTTCAGCGGTTGTGATGGAGGACATCCTGAAGGTAAAGGAGGACGTGACGTGGTTGGGGACGCTGCTTGTGCCAGCCATGGACAAGAGAGTCGGGGGAAGTTTTTCGCTCCGCCCACGGGTGCATCTCAACCAGCAGCAGCAATCGATCCAACGGGATGAAAGACCCGGTTCGAGAAAAAGATAATCTGCACCATAATTAACAGTCAACTATGCCACAACAGCAGTATCAATCGAGATATCAGATACTTACACCCACCCACGACTCATTCCTCCAACGTGATCATGTACTGCTGCTTCTGTCGCTCGCCCCGCCGGATGGCTGCGGACCTGCACTAGCACTACTACTACTACCAAGAGGAACAAGTTCCGGAAGCCCCTTCAGCTCCAACACGCTCGTCAGTCCCGCCAAGGCCCCCTTGAATACCCACAGCGGCACCGAGCGCCCCTTGTTCTTCGCGATCGATGCCCCCGCTGCAGCGCTAGCCACGTTCAGCCCCAGCAGGAACAGACTCACCGGCACCGCCGCCTGTTGGAAAATACGAAAGGCGGACATGTGGGGGGCAAGGACGTTGACCTTGACATCCTGAACGCGACGCCTCGGGGAGGAAGAAAGTCTAGAAGGAAAGCATCGCTGGGCGTTTCATCAACAACTCATTTGACTGCAGCTGTTTCGTGCTCTTAGGGGGGACGGCGAAGAGAACACCAAAATGTTTGCCGCGGTACTCACATACCATCCTTTTCGGCTTAGCGCACGGCAACCTACTCCAGGACCCCAAATTATCGACATATGAAAACTTCAAAGTGTGTTTGTGTCTTGGAAGTAACAATAATGACTAAATTACACACCTCCGCAACATCTCGCGGTAGAAGCCCTGTCTCCAGCGCGTCCAAGGTACCCTTCCCGAACGCAAGGGAAAGACACCCGCAAACCGCCACCGCGTTCGCCCTTTGAGCGAAATTCAGCAACAGCGGCTGGGCTGGAAGAGCGTCCTCCGCGCGCACCTCAGGTACCCACTCCGAAATATCCCTCTGTTCCGCGGTAAGCCCCGGCTTGCGGAAAATTTCTTCGTCCACTTCTTTCTGGCTTCTGCCCCCCAGGTTGACGGGCACCTTCTTCATACGCGCAGGAAACCCCACACAGGCGCGAAAAAAAACCCATCAGCACTGACGTCCAAGCGATACGTTCACGTTCGCGTACGATTCTTCAGCTCCAGTCTTCAAAACTGCGACGGATTATTTGAGGCCGAGACATGGAACGAGGATCATGATCTACGTATGATGAGCGTAGTGAGCCATTGGCCATCCCAGGGCACCACCGCGATCGACGTGTCTCGATTTACGCACGCACCTTCCTGCTGGTGTTCAGGGCCCTGGACTTCTTTGTGGCCGCTTTTTCCGCCTTTGTCTTCATGTCCATCATGGCTTGCTTCTCGAAGAGAGACTTTCTTCGGTCCTCACGGCTGACATTCGCCACGCTGTTCAACCTTTCCTCTTTCGCACTGACAAAAAAAGTAGACGAAGGGGGGAGATGGGAGGGGGCTGGCGATCACGACATCTACTCGTGCTTGGTCAGAAAACATAAATTGAGAACGCTCCGAGGGAGGGTACACCGAAAAAACGGCCGCCCTCTTCGCCACGAAAACAACGTCAGGAATGTCTGCAACAACCCCTTACAAATTCTTCGAAAATCCATGACGGGATCTACTCTTTTGCTACGAACTCGAACCAGGAGTTCAATACCGTACTCCATATCCACTTCCACGCAGCAGCAAAGAGATAATCACCTTCCGAGCGTTAGGAAGCCGTCCTTGTCGGCCTTCTTCTGTATGTCCAAGCCCACCGTCGGATTTATTCTCTCGTAGTACTCGTTGTCCTTGAGCGTGCGAGCGTTTAAGTCGATGCCCATTCTCTCAGAGGCCGCCACGTACCCTCCGATTTTCATCATCGGCTCGATAAGGTATCCATACCCGTACCTGTTGCCGGTATCGTCAAGTTCATATTCGGAGCGCGGGCAGAATGGAAATCGTGTGGTACTGTACCAGGTGCTTGTAGCACTCGAGCTTAAAGAGTTAATAGGCCAATAGAACCAACTTACTGCAGATATAACGAACAGGAGTTTCTCTGCAGGGTTGGCTTTGTGTGATCCCCACACACACTGCTGCCTCTAGACTAAGTAGTAAGCTAGATCAGGGTATGTGAAGTAACAATGTCGGAAGTCGTCTCGCAATCGCACAACTCTCGCTGAGGAGAGAGAGAGAGAGAGAGAGAGAGAGAGAGAGAGAGAGAGAGAGAGAGAGCGATAGCTCGTGCTCCGACACGCGTGCCCGTCTGCCTTCTTGTCCCTTCACGAGCCGCCCACAGTACACCCCGAAAAAGTGCTTCCGCTAACTTCATTGCCTATGGATATAGCGATGGATTCGTTGCGTAATAGCAAGAACAAAAAACACTCGAGGGGATGGTTGAATGGGGCTTTGCGCTCACCCTACTACTGCTCCTCGCTAGCTCACCTCGTCAGCTCGCTGTACGAAAGCACGTTCACCTCCCCGTCCCACTCGTCCCTGTCGGGCTCGTTCTCCAGGGCCATCTGAGTGGGGTTCACGGAGAGAAAGTTGAGCAAGGTGCCCCCCGCCCCCTTTGCCTCGACGCCCCCGCCGCCCTTCTCGGGGTCTCCCGCCTCTCGCTCGTCGAGGTAGGCCCTGATCTCGGCCTCTAGCACGGGCCACTCGGCGAAGAAGCCGGGCTTCTGGCCCTGGTTGGGACCCGCCATCATCACGATCGTGCGGCTTGTTCTCGTCGTCGTCGTCGTCGTGGGAAGTCGCCGTCTTGAACACCTGCTTGTTGTTTACAAGTACAGCAGTTAGACCCCGCACGTAAGAACATCTACTCTTATTGTTGGCTGAGGCTGGGGTTCTTACAGTAGACTTACGTACATAGTTCCTCTATGTCACGCGACGAACGGCCGCTACATGGGTTTTGGGGCAGCCCACAAATGGTGCTAAGTTCTTAGATCGGAGAATGAGTTTTAGTGTTTCGAGGCTCAATCTTTTAACTGCGCTATCTGCATGCACGCGGCGAGCACGGGCTTGGATTGTCTGGTTCCAATTGCCTAGCGTGGAAAAGGCCAGTGACAGGTGCCATCGGGACAACACAAGATCGCCCCGCACACATGATATGTATCGGCTCCATGCTGTTGAGGGCAAAAACATGAGCAAGGACTTGCACAACACGCACACAACCCAACCTGAGACAAGCATGAGCCGCTGCAGGATGATTGGTATGGGAACACACCTGAAACTACGTCAGGAAACAACACGCCGATGTAGCTAGAGAGTTGCGTGTGGTAAGGAGATCTACACCATCATTCTGTTACATAGCCTGCCGTGGTCGACTGCAACATGGTACCTGGCATGACATCTCGAAGACGACGAGGTCGGTGACGGCTTCAGGCCCCTCGTTGGAGCTACAGTCGGCACATGAAAGCCTCCTGCGCCTGTGACGCACAATACCGCAGATATTACAGGGAGCCACATAGTAAGCGTGCACATACCACGCGCGCTGGGTGCTTGGCTTGTGTTGCACACACGCGCACGCGCTGCACGCTTCGCTTGCTGCTGGAGCAGGGTCGGGGCTCCGCGAAACATTGTAGGCTAGCCCTCGCAGTCACGTTGCCCCCAACCATGAAGAAACTTGACGTCCAAACTTGAAATCGTGAAACCGTGTGCAGCAGCGTGTGTACAGTATGTAGATCAAGGGCGACTCAGCGCGTGGAGAATACGAATATGAGAGACGCTGTCCATCGTGTGTAGTACATGCACTCAGATCTGACCTTATCCTTGTGCACAAATCAAACGCTGTGTTGAAAAAGGCAGATAATGCCGCGCGCATCACGTATCATAGAGCACAAGTTGGACACGTCATCTCCGAGCAAAAATCATGTGCAAAAAATCTTGCGGGCTTCCTCTTGACACGTCAACTGACGTGTGTATTTGCAAATTTGCTCAACGCCAACCCCTACTCGCCACCCCCCCAACTTCCGCTCCGTCACCAGCTCATCTTGAGAGAGAGGGTGAGATGTGTGGAAAAGAGGCGCCCCCAACACGAGCACACAGGATGAAAACACAAACACAGGATTGGATGCACACGCACGCCATTATTTTACATGATGACCCCCCCCCCCAGCAACACGCCGCGTGTTCCCTGAACCAGAGTCGAGCTCACGTCGTGTCAACTGTACTCCTGTAGTGGTACCTTGCGAGTACCATCGCGCTTGCGCATCACCCACAGCTCTCGGCACACGGGCCGACTCGTTATAGTTGTCGAGCCTTCTGGGTAAAGGCTGCCGTAGGCGCTTGTGCGGGCGAGCGGAAGCATGCCGACGCGCGTGCGTACTACAACATGCATGAGCCTCGGCTCTCACGCACTGCTGCTGCTGAGCCTCCTGCTGGGTTCGGTTTCCGCTTCCGCTGCTGCTGACGGAGCAGCGTCGACGACTCCGCCCGCCGCCACTGCTGACTCTGCCTTCGTCCCGCCTGCTACCACCGTGCGCAGCTGGTTCGGCAGTGTCCCTAACACAAGACCTTCAGCAGCTACGGAGTCACCCGTCTCCGCGCGTCCTGTTCCGCCTGCTGCCGCCTGTTCCCCGGCCTACAAGCTTGGCACGGCGAGCACGTGGGTTCCTGCTACTAGGGCTGCTTCCAGCGCGATTTCGGCGAGGAGGAGTGGAATGGCTATGGAGGCCGCGGCGGGCTCGTCTCCGAAGATCATCATTGCGGGAGCACCCGCGTCCGGCAAGGGCACCCAGTGCAGCATGATCAAAGAGCGCTACGGGGTCGTCCACTTGTCAACAGGTGGGTGTAGTCGTGTAGTCTATGTAGATACGCGGACGAACTGCTGTTGTATTCGGAAGATTGCTCCCGCAACGCTCCCTCGTTCTGTGCGTCTGCGTTACTGATGGCTGATTGTTCTGCTGATTATACGACCTGTACTGTGCTTTGATAAGTAGCTGCGCGTGGCATTAAACATACAGCAGTAGAACGAACAAACAGTCAACAGCAGCCTCATCTACAGCTGAACAAGCTCAGTACAGTATGCATGCTAGCTCTGTGTTCCATCAACGAAATTTCCGTCGGGAGCAAGTCGGGAGTGTTGTTTGTAAGTGACATGCTCTCTCACTTCACCCTCTACTGCTGTGGTAGGTGATATGCTGAGGGCGGCGGTCAAAAACCAGACTCCTGTGGGTTTGGAAGCCAAGGGCTACATGGACGAGGTGCGTGGGTACAGCACTCCAGCAGTAGTCTACCCACCTCCATGCCCTCCGGCTTTTTCGAAGACCGTGCATCGAAGTGTTGACGAATGTGTGATTCATGCCGTATATACCGGCGCACCGGACTTATCAGAGGTCCCTCCGACGATAGCTCCGGCTGCGTAATGTCAAGGCTGCATACACCCCCCCCCCCCCAAGCACACAGGACAATTGGAAGATGATGACATTCGGAGTTCGGCGACCTGGCTTGTGTTGTTTAGAGTATTGTACAGACAACCCCGAACCACAGCCGCAACAGGCGCAATTGACTCACCGTCATCCCTGCCTCCCCGGCTCTCTGTAGATCTTGTGTGAGAATGCTTGTTGCAGGAGGTTTTTTGTTGAGTTACCGTAACATCGATTCGCTGGTGTTGCAGTTTTTGCCGTTTCCACCATGTAGCGCCCTGGACAAGGCCGAAGCTGAGCGGCCAGTCCAGATTTCCTGACGTGGATGAACGCGCTAAATGGGTCTAAATCGCCGATGATCTGTGTATGTGTACGTTGCCGTACCAAGCGTTACATCGTCTAATCCGCGCGAAGCCTGTTTTTCGAGTACAAACCTACGGTCTTTTGTTGTCTGCGTGCGTGCATTGGCGCGTTTCGCGCAGGGAAAGCTCGTGCCGGATGAGGTGATCATCGGCATCGTCAAGGACCGCCTCAACGAGGACGACTGCAAGACGCAGGGCTGGCTGCTCGACGGCTTCCCCCGAACTCGCGCTCAGGTAGGTACTACATTCCACGCGAAGTATTAGTAGCCAATTTGGGGAGTATGGTTAAAAGTATCACAGCCCCGTGGGAAGTAGTCCGTGCGGCAATGTCTGGGCCGTTTTTCGTCGCCAAGTGTTTGTTAGCGGTAGGGAGGGAACCACCAAGCAGCCACGCGCAAGCGTTCGGAGCAAATCGCATCTACAAAAAAAAAATCCCCGTAACAGATGCACACGCACGGACGACCTCCTCCCGCGTTCTGAAACAACCTAATGCCTGCTCCCCTGCCGTAGGAAACTTTGAGGGTTTTGGCTGCAATTGCGCTAGTGTGCAAACCGCCCTCTCCTGTTTTATGGTATTCGCCGTTTTGGCAACGGTCTTTGTTGCCGGGTTAAGTGCGAAGCAATTATACAAAAGGGATTCGGAAGACACGAAGGGCTTAGGCGATTTCCGTTGGCAGATGGTTTCGCCTGAGCGATTTCAGAGGGACGTTTTTGCCGCACACACGTCATCTTCGTTGCTCGGTCCTTCGAGGAAATCATTCCCCGAGTTTTTTGTATTCATCCACGCTGTATTCAAATTCGAGCTTACACTTTGCTTGTTTCGTTTTCTGTTGCCCCTGGTGTTGCTCTTCCCGTTGTTACTGCGGCTGCTTCGGAAACACCAGGCGGACGCGTTGGCCGCAGAGGGCATCCAGGCTAACTCCTTCTTGCTCCTAAACGTGCCCGACGAGATGCTCATCCGGAGGGTCGTCGGCCGCCGCCTCGACCCCGACACGGGGGACATCTACCACGTGGACTTCAACCCTCCCCCTGCTGAAATCGTAGACAGGTCGGTCTTGCATCTCGCATTGCCACGCAGTATACCGTAGCCTTGCACACACAAGGAGTTATGTGTGTTTTTTTCTGCTGCGCCGGAGTCTGTTTGAAAATTTACCGGCAATATCTCTGTCTTCATCCTTCGGTGGGTTATGATGGGATGGTTTCGACACCATTGCGACTCTCGTTGGTGGATTCTCCTCAACCTTTTTTGTCATGGAGTAGGGCGTTTCGTGCTGCGTGTGGTTGCGGCGGCGACCTGCGCGTTGCCAACCGAACCCTATCCCAACTCGGTCGATCCGACAAAAAGTTTTACGCAACTTTTGGGACTCGCAATGTTTCAGGCTGATCCAACGCGCGGACGACACCGCAGAGAAGGCGCAGGTCCGGCTGGTCCAGTACCACAGCAACATCGCGGCCATCAGGGAGTGCTATGAGGACATCACCTGCAGCCTGGACGGCTCGGTGGGGAAGGAGGAGGTACGAGTATGGCAAGGTTAACGTCAAGGTTGATACAAGAAAGCTAAGAGAGGGAGAGGGCGGGGGGGGGGGGGCATCGGGGGGGGGGGGGGGGG